TATTATAATATAAAACATTCCTACTTTATTTGCAATGTATTCTCAGGAACTTCATCATTTAAAAACAGTATTTTGTCATAGGACTAATGATATAATTGGAGGTTATAGTACTGATTCTACATGAAATGACTCATAGCTCAGACTAAAAACATCATAAAAGAAAAGCTGCAAGGAAAATTTCTATATTCCCCTTTAAAATGTGCTGTTTAATGCTTCAGCTCCAAGTAAATAAATAAACACATACTATAACATTAATTATATAAAGAACTTCAATTTCCTGCAAAAATATACAGTATATAAAAATACAACTCTAATATAAATTTGCTCTAAACGAGTATGCCAATTATAAACATTATTTAAACATATAATTAAATGACTGTGTTTGTATTTTGAAGGGAAGTTTCACAATTTTCCAGATCACTTTAAAAAAAATCCAATTTTATTTATGCTTATACAACTTTTTTCCTGAGGAAAATACCCTATAACAAGTAACATTCACACTCATACCAATTACCTTCGAGTTTTAAGACATTACTACTCACAATATGGAGGTAAAGGTAAAGGTTTGTGGAGTGTTTCTTACTAAAATCAGTTAGGAAACTGAAAACTACCCAATGTTCCTGTATGTTGCACTGCTCAGCCCTCCGTTTCCTCAGAGATTTTGTATAGAAAAAGACAAAAACCACTAGGTAAAAAGAAGCACCAGGGTACTTACATCCTTTGAAAGCCAGCTGGACAGACATAGTGAGGGGGTCCCTCCCTATCAACCCAGTTTTAGCAGGATTTTCTCTGGTTTAGCACTGACAATCCCAAATGCCCAAATGCCTCTCAGTCCCTGGAAAACCAGGATAGTGGTCACTCTAGGTCTAAAACAAACAAACAAACCAACCAACCCACCCCCAAAACTTAAAATGAATTTCAACAGTATCACAGAATTGCAAGCACAATATTGTACTTTATCTTGCTGCTTCCTGTGAAAATTCTGAAAGATACTTATACAACATCAAATTCTGAAAGATACTTACACAACATCAAATAGTAGCAAATATTATTTTCATAGTATCAACTGAATAGAACATATTTGGGAAAAAAAATTGAAATTGCCATACCATTCTTCTTCCCTTTCTCAATATTGTGCTGTAGCCTGTTTGAGAGAAAGAGAAGAAAAAAAAGTGGAAAAATAGACATTACTTTCATTACCCACCAGAGCATCAAGCTCCAAAATGGGGGTAAATTAAGAAAATATTAGCGATCCCATGTTTATTTATTTAATTTTTCAAAACTGAAAAACATAAACTAAACTTTACTGATACGTAATCTACAGATTAATAACAGAAGTTTCTGGCTTAATTTCTGCCAAAGATATTAAAAGATGTATTAAAAGGTGGCACACATACTACGAACCATACAGATTTGCTGATTTTTCCTGTAAAGATAAATGGTAGTTAGAATCATACTATGCAGCAAATTTTTTGACAAATAAACA